CCTTTCCCCTCCCCTCACCTCCCTTCCTCTCCTCTTCCTTTGTCTTCTCTCCCCTCTTCCTTTTCCCTCCCTGCACCCTGCACGGTCCGCAGAGGCTCAGCAATCTAGGCTTCAGTATACTTCCACCACTTTCTGAAGGCTGCTGATGTCTGACCCCATCTTGATGAGGTCACCTCTTAATGGAAAAGACCAGGTTAGGTGTCATTACTGGTGACTTCCCTAATTACATCCAGTTAATGGAAAAATGAAGTTGAGAGCATCCATTTAAGTTGGAATTAAGGGTTAAGAATGCAGCATCCTCTAGTGAGATACTCACAAGGGAGTCATGACATCTTTATGTTGAAAGAAACTGGGAAGTGTCATCCAGTCCACTGTCCTGCCTCCAGAGAGAAATTTATCTTCATCACAGAGATAGATGGTTCCCTAGACAAAACACTTTAGCTTCTAATTAAAAGCACCCCCTTCATTCAACCAGCCACACTGTGGGCCATGGCAAGAGCTGTGGAACACCCCATCTAGACCCTGGAAATTTGGGATGGTGGATGATTGATTGTTGTGACTGAACTCCCAAAGTAGCATGGTGCAGGGAAGCTCCCTCTTCAGGCCTCTTGGACCCCAGCTTTCAGGGATGACTTAAGTCGAGTTTTGCCTGGACCTAGGGAGAGGAAGGAGAATCGAGCCTGGGGAGAACCCGCTCCATCTGACGTTCCATTCTTAACGCTATGATATAGCCCTCTTTTTGGGCTTTCAGCCCAAAGTACTTTTGGAACTCCATATAAAGGAGAGGGATGACACTCCGTCCGGTTGAGGGGAAGGCAGCACACATCTTCCCTCTAGGATGGCTGCTTTTAAGCTATTTTTTGCTTTTGGGGGCCTGGCTAAACTGATTACAGCTGCAGACCAGGCTGTCCAACTGCCCAGGTCCTTTGAAAATTGGGCACAGAGTCTCCTGTAAGTCACAGAAGCTGAAAAAACACAGCCGTCCTCGAACAAAAGAGGAAAATGAGGTCAGAAAAGGAAAGTTCACACAGACTTGGTTCTTTTCACTTTGTTGTCCTGGAAATGGGAGGCCAACCAATGTGCTGAGAAACACGAGATTGTTTTAATGGGGACCCTTGTGGGAAACTGGGAGAAAGCATTGTGAACTTCAACCACATCGAAACTTCACACAGGCTAGCCTTTGTCAGCCTGCGGGATAAAGAGAGAAAGGGATTCTAAAAGAGAGAGTAGGGAATGGATCCACCCATGTGCATTCCTTCCAAGTCGGTTATAGACTACAGTACCTTCGAGAAACAGTCTTGTCTGCTTCTCACACATTCTGTAAGACCTGATGAGCCAAAAATGTTATTGACGGATGCCTTCCATTCTGGGACCTCAACCGCTAGACTGGGTTCTGTGGCAACTAGAATTGTCATTTGGCATCTGGGATTCAGTAGTTGGCTTTTTTTTTTTTTTTTTTTTTTTTTTTGGGGTTTTGTTTTTTTTTTTTTTTTTTTTTTTTTTTTTTTTTTTTTGAGATGGAGTCTAGCTCTGTCACCTACGCTGGAGTACAGTGGCGCAATCTCTGCCCACTGCAACCTTTGCCTCCTGGGTTCAAGTGATTCTCCTGCCTCAGCCTCCCAAGTAGCTGGGATTACAAGCACCTGCCGCCATGCCCAGCTAATTTTTGTATTCTTAGTAGAGACGGGGTTTCACTGTGTTGGCCAGGCTGGTTTCAAACTCCTGACTTCGTGATCCGCCCACCTGGGCCTCCCAAAGTGCTGGGATTACAGGCGTGAGGCACCGCGCCCGGCCCTGTTGTTGGCTTTAATAAGTTCATCATCTCTTTCCATGAGTGGTGGTCAGGGCAGCGCAGGGCACAGCGTGCAGGCAGAGGGTGATGATCTTTGACAAGAGTCCACTTGCAGGACGGGCTGACCCCCGCTGCCTGCAGAAGAGCCAGGGGGAGGAGTGAGTCTCTGACTTCCCCCTGTGCTCACCAGCCAGCCCAGAAGCACAGCAAAGATGATGTAAAAATGCATCAGGAGAATGTTGGAATGTGCAGGGAATTCCCTGCTTATTTCCCAGTCAGTCAAGCATGCACCCAGAGGATTTGGAGAGGGAAAGCGAGTCCCATCATTCTTGGGGCTCAGCAGAGTGTGCTTCCTTGCCCACCCTTCCCCAGGATCCCCTGCCATGGACCTACCGAGCAGACTAGGATCCCTGTTCTGGAAAATCCCAAGGGTCTGCTGTGGCCTCACTTAACATCCTGGTTTTGATCCAGAGGGAGTGGTGTTGTCTTTAAAATCTCTGCATGACGGCAAATTCATGAGCCTCCCGGTGAAGGCATGAAGGAACCGACTCCTTGTGCTGAGTCATAGCCGAAACCTTCAGGTGAAAAGGCCCAACTGTAGAGCAAGCACAGTCACTGAGTGCACGTGTTCGTGCCAACCTGGGTGCCCTCTGTGAAACAAGCTGGGGAAAGGTATTGCCTCTTCATTAGGTTATTTTCAGGAACACTCTCAGCCACTGGCGGGTGGCGGCCCAGCTGATGCCCTGCGTTCTCTCCTTCCGCGCCGCTGGGCCAGCGCTGGCAGTGGGATGGAGACCTGCGTGAGGGAGAGGGGGCCTGCATGCGTGCTGGCCCCTCTGTCTTTTGCTGCACACCTTGGCAGGGGACCAAGTGATTATCTGTTGGTTAAACTCCTCAAAGCCTGAGTGCCACCCAGCGTCCTTCTCCATTGAGAACTGGCTAGCTCAGTCCCCCAGAGGTCAGCTGCAGAGCACAAGCCAAGAGGCACTGCAGGCCCCTTTATGGGTTGGGACATCAGAGTCCTGACAGGTTTCGACAGATTTTGTGGCTTGGTTGTGACCGGCCAGAGAACTCAAGTTTCCGCTCCTCTCCCAGGAAACTACCCCCATGGGCGCCAGGTGTGTTGAGTCTGTCGTCTTGCCTCTTAATGATATGTTCTTTCCCTTCTGGTCCTCTTGGTGTCCCCCCACAGGGTGCAGGCTGCACTGCCCTTGTGGTGGCCGTGGTGGCCCGAAAGCTGGAACTCACCAAAGCAGAGAAGCACGTTCACAACTTCATGATGGACACCCAGCTCACCAAGCGGGTAAGATGCCACACAGCCATGTCTTATGGGGGACTTAAGGCCACCATGGAAGCCAATCAGAAAGCAAATGGTCATGTAGCATGGGTTTTCACCAGGCTTTTAAAGGGTATGTTTGAGGGAGCCCCAGACATAGACAAACGGCCTCCGCAAAATGGAAATGGCATCTCCACACACCGGTTCCTGTCTTCTGTTCAATCACTGTGCATGGGTCAGACAGCCACATGATTCTCCTGATAGTTTAATTAGTAGCCTACAATGGTATAACGTGCCCTTTTGCCTGATGATACCAAATAAATCACCCAGTATGAAGCAGTATTTTTTGTTTATGCTCAAATATTTTCAGGATTCTCATTAGGAAGGGCAAAACTATATTGAAAATGTACTAAAAAAGTCTAATCCCTTAAAAAAATCACTTAAAGAATCATTCTAGGCCGGCACGGTGGCTCACGCCTGTAATCCCAACACTTTGGGAGGCTGAGGCGGGCTAATAATGAGGTCAAGAGATCAAGACCATCCTGGCCAACATGATGAAACCCTATCTCTACTAAAAATACAAAACTTAGCCTGGTGTGGTGGTGTGCGCCTATAGTCCCAGCTACTTGGGAGGCTGAGGCAGGAGAATCACCTGAACCTGGGAAGTGGAGGTTGCAGTGAGCTGAGATCACGCCGCTGCACTCCATCCCGGTAACAGAGCGAGACTCCATCTCAAAAAAAAAAAAAAAAAAAAAAAGAATAATTCTAGTAGAGCCCACATTCCTAAATAAAATTGTTCATCAAAACATTATCATCCAATTTTTCCCTTTTGGGTTTTCCCGGTAACGTTTCTCACTTGAACCATTATGAAAGTGGCTAAGGAAGATGAAGAACTGAAAATATGCAGGAATGGGTAGACCATTTAGCTGCTGAACGCTGGACACCCCACTGACTTGTCAGAGACGAAAAGGCCCATTTAGAAGAGACAGATAGAAGCCTTCCAGAATAACAGCAGGCCAAATGGGCAAGGCAGGAGCTGTTTATTCAAGGACAGCTTTTATGGAAAATCTTTAGAACTACAGCCTGAAGGAAGGTCAGTAAGATGATTTCTTGCAAGACTGTCCTCTTTCTGAGACAAGACAGAACGAAAGTCCTGTGCCCCTGTCTCCGCCTCCTTGGTCTTTTTCATTTAGGACTGAAGTAGGTTAAGGGACCCATGAGCAACCAAATGTTGATTGGGGGTTTTGAAAGCTAGAGAAGATATTCGGTGATTAGTGTTGCACAGCAGCAAAAATGTGTTAGAGACAAAGGCAGGAAGGGAGAACAAAGAGAGAGAGAATGACAGAGGGAGCTGCGAGGGAGCTCTCGGGGAAGGCCGTGGGAGAGTGTGCAGTCACCACGGCCTCTCCAGTTTCTCAGCAGAATTATTTATGGTGTTTGATTGTCTGGTCTTTGATTACATTTATTGGATTCTTTAAAGAGCCTTCACAGATGTTAAAAGGAACTGGGACAGGAAAATATTCTTATGTCGTTGACATTCAAGTGTTGGTACATCACGGCCCTGAGCGATCCGCTGCACCAAAAAAAGCCATGATTTGTCACATCACGATGGCAGTGATTGAAGGCTGTTACCAGAGTCAGGCCTGCCGGGAACCCTGCCACTTGGCCACTCTCTTTCGGCCCCCTCTAATAACAGGTGCAGAAGTCATGCTCAGTATTGAGGAAATGACTCAAGTTATTGAAACACCTCAATGCAAATCCACTAGCATCTAATTTCCTGAAGCAATTTTCACTGAATTGCAACTACATGCCGGAGTGAGGGAAGGGACATGTCTTGCCTCCAAAACCCTCTCATAAGCTGTTTACCAAGAGTAGGGACATTAGCAGTCTCTGTTTATTCTATTTTCTTTTTTAAGCCAAGTATATTCTTTGTATTTCGTGTTATTCCTTTGTTCTCTCCATTTTTCACCAAGTAAATCAGACGTTAGAGGAAAATAAAGCTGAGGAAAGCCAGCTCCTTTGTATGCCAGGAAAATAAACAATTTTTTCTGCAATGTAATTGTAGAAGATGAGATTGTGGTTGCTAATTTTAATCTTTCAAAGATGATTCCCTAACATCCTCCTCAATTCCACTTACTTCTTGAAAAGTAGGACTGAAAATCAAATCAACAAATATTTATGGCTCATCCATGAATGTAAGGTAGCTTTTTAATCGAATAACATCTCACTTTTCTGAGAACACTTCAATCTGTTGAAATGTCCTGTTAATATCCAATATCTTTTCTCAAGGAAACAAATAACACAGAAGAGATGGTTCTTACAGAGAGAAAGTTTTCAAAGCAGGCACTAGAGCTTCTGAAGGTTCTTTTACATAACCTTAGTTGAAATGAAACTGGATGCGTGGGTCCTTGGTCCACTCTGGTTTGAGCTGACTCTGACCTGCTCACAAGAGAAGCCCACCTTTCTTCCTCTGGGGATGGCTGGCCTGCCCTCTGTCCAAATGGCCCATTGCATCCAACTGGAGTGGCTCATTGGTCAAGATGCTAAACTTAGTCTGTTCATAACATCTTAGTGAACTTTCAGAGAAAGATCCGATGTGGAAGGAGTTGACGGTGGCATAATTGCAACCCTTTGGAGTGGACAGTCAGTGTATTTGACAGATGAAAGCAGTCTCTTACCAGTATCTGCTACCTTGATGTTCAAACGCCTAAGCAAAATGAAGAACGGAATTGTAGCTATTACTCATAAATCATACCCAAATAGTTCTAGTGTTTATTCATCTTGCTGTAAAGGCTGCAGTCTAGCCTTTGCCAAGAGAGCCAGCACTATTTTTATTTATTTACTTGTGGGGAGGGAAGAGGGTCTGATAGCACCGGGTAAGAACTCGGTTTCTGGTTTTCCTGAATCCCATGCCTATCTTCTTTCCTTGTATAACTTATCAACCCTGGTGGCAACGTCATTTCTGTATTTAATTTGATCAGGTCTTCCCACACTGACTTCGCAGTGTCACTGCCATTGTTATTCCATAATTATAACTTATTGCTAACCCCTGGGCTACTAGCTAATATATAAGTACATGACACACAGAGGGACTGGAAGAAGATACTAGAGCCCCATCCTTTCTGCCACTCAGCGCTTCCATGTCCCCATCCTTCTGCTTTATGTAACTAAACATCCATCACAGAGGTCACTCCCTGGGTGCCACACACTCTACTCTGGGGGCACCAAGATGGGTAAAAGGTGGTCCTTACCCCCATCCTTAACCTCTGATGGCCGACGGCCCTCAGGGAGCACTGCTGCTGCTGCTGCTGCTGCTTCCTCCTCCTCTTCTTCCTCTTCCTCTTCTTCTTCTTCTTCTTCCTCTTCTTCCTCTTTCATTCTTCTTCTTCATTATTTCTTCTCCTTCTTCGACAGAGTCTCACTCTGTCACCCAGGCTGGAGTGCAGTGGCGCGATCTTGGCTCACTGCAACCTCTGCCTCCCAGGTTCAAGCAATTCTCCTGCCTCAGCCTCCCAAGTAGCTGGGACTACAGGTGCACGCCACCACACCCAACTAATTTTTTATATTTTTAGTAGAGACGGGGTTTCACCATATTGGCCAGGCTTGTCTTGAACTCCTGACCTTGTGATCCAGCCGCCTTGACCTCCCAAAGTGCTGGGATTGCAGGGTGAGCCACCATGCCCCACCCAGAGAGCACTCTTTCTTATCAAAGGCAGAGTGGGCTGCCATGGACACACTTGGCTTGGGAGGCACCGTGGACCGGAGATATTTTGTTTGCGGTACCTACTCTCCACATCAAGCCATAGTGAGCAGAACCTTCAGACAGCACCGTGGGTGTGTGCTGAGGATCATCTCCTTCTGGCTGCAAGAGTTTCTTGCCCCAAGTAGCTCATCCAAGTACACTTCAATGAGGAAGATCAAAACTAAACCCACAACTTCCCTAAATGAGTTCCTTCTAACTTCCCTGGTATGCTCGTGACATCGTGTTCTTCCAGACTCCACGCCTAAAGATTTAGCTCCATTTCTGACTCCTCTGGGCCCTGGACCCCACAGGGGTCTGAGCACTTTCAGAGCCTGATTTAACCGTGCTGTGGCTGTTCACACTTGCCTGCCTCTCCAGGGCCTCTGCCCTGCCACACTTGAAGCCACCATCTTCTCTGGGCCTGCGTCTTCTCATCTGGGTTTGTGTGGCTCATCCATAAGCATCCTTCCAGCTGAAATACACACTGTTCTATGACTGCGCCCAGTCTGTCTCGGACAGACCTTCGTGCTTGACGTCGTTTCTGTTACATGACAGTCTTGCACCATCACAGCAGCCTGCCACCTGCTCTCCTCGCGTGGGCCTCTGCTTTCCTATGGTCCTCCTCAGACTCTCAGGCTTAGCTTTGAACATATTTCTTCCTGCTCAAAAACCTTTAAGTAGTTCCCCACCTACTATCTCCTGAACGACACTAAAGAAAACTTTTCTTTAATTATGTGCATATGCCAAAATTCGATCATAACCTTGCTAGAAAAAATTTTCTTCAGCTGGCTAATTCAAAGATGACTCTTAGTAGAAGTATTTCATAGGAAAACGATGGTGGTCACTGCGGTACCAGATACCGAGGGTCTGGCTAAAGGACGGCGAACGGACAGCTGGTTGGGCTCCAGAGTGGGTTTCCAGAATGAGTCTTTATCACTTTAAAATTGATCGATAATCAATAGGGCAGTTACGAGGAATGCTAATCCTCCCCGGAAGAGTATTATCAATTACATCACACACAAAGTTCCGTCCCAGACAGACTGGGTGCAGGTTTTCTTCAGCAACAGTCACAGAGACATTGTGCGTTTATGCTGGAAGGGCCCTTCGGGATGAGCCACTCCGACCCAGATGAGAAGACGCAGGCCCAGAAAGGGGCAGGGTGGGCCCCCGGCCGACGCAGGATCCAGTTTGCTCTCAGACCATCAGTCAGGCAGCTCTAGGGTGGTTAGTTCCTTAGATCCCAGCAAGGGATTAGGGCCCTGGGCCTGCTGAAGAGAAAAGCCAG